CTTTTTAAGATTAAATTTAAAAATATGTATATGTGTGTGGGTACATGCAGGTGAGTGCAGGTATCCTTGGGACCCGAGGTGTCAGGTCCCTGTATTGACCTACGCAGTAAAAGGAGAGCAATTGTAGTACCTACCTTAAAGACAGGTTAAATGGAACAGTGCAGATAATATACAGTGCTTAGTACATGGCAGATACTGAAGTAATTAGTATATTTTTACATGCACAAGTGTAGAGTCAGTAATAAGGTAACATTGTATTTTGTTTAAAGACTGAACTTTAGGCTGAACACAAATCTAAATACCTCCAGAGGGCAGTTGTTACAAGAAACAACATCCTTACTTAGGTTGTTGAAGTGGTCCTTGAACAGACGGCGTATACTAACTAAAAGGGGAAGGCAATGGCCATTGAGGTTGGAGTCCTTGGTAGAATGCAATTCGGGGGGTGTGAAGTCACAGAATCAGTGCTACCTGCCTGTTCTTTCCTATTGACTCAGGACTGATATGTTGATGAGCCTCCAGGTGACCCCAGAAATTCTAAATGCCCGTGATCAAGAGACTAATTCTGTTTTCTCCCCCTAAAATGAGAGTTTTTTTTTTTTTTTTTTAAGAACAAGAGCCTATTTGTGTGTGTTCTGTTCTTACCTTCAGTAATGAGCCTGTGGCTGTGAGGTAGCCATTGGTTTAGTTTTGTTTGGGGGGGGCCACACTTTTTAGTATTTTGATATTTTCTCCAAGGAATATTGTTATAATAGAAGTTGTTTTCTGCTTGAGGGGAAGCACTCTATCGTCAGTCATACCCTTTACCCATGCTGACCTGGGACGGGAGACTTGTAGCAGAAAACTCAGAAATGTTCATTTAGTTGAGTTTTGTCTCTGGCTGATGGAGCTGTTGACAAGTTCTGGATCCCAAGATTTATGACTTCATCATTGAAGCCATCAACAGAAATGAAGAATCATTCGTTCATTCATCCCTTCAGCCAGTTAAGGCTTAGCAGATAAGATAGACGAGGCCATTTCATTCCCTCTTAGAACTTACATCCTAGAAAGAAAAACAAGTAAAATAAGTAAAAAATAACCAGATGTGCTTTTTTTTTTTTTTTTTTTTTTTTTTTTTTTTTTTTTTTTTATGAGCAGACGTCTTTACTTAAGGGAAAATGCAGCTACAGTCTTTGCTTGGTCATGAAATTAAATTACTCCAGAGTTAGCAAGGAAATGAAACAGAAAATAAGAATTCATGAAAGTATCCTATTGTCCTGACAAAAGTGGCTGAATGGCTTAAATTTTATGTGCTCATTATAAAATTAATCTAATCATTTACATTTCCCCTCTGATTCAAGCTCATTGAACTGTGATGTTTAAAAATAAAGTGGTGGCTATAGCCCCTCTGGATAATCTGCTCAGAAAAGTTTTGTGATGGCCGAGGAGTGAGTCTCTGAACGGAAACTGGGAGGCTACAGATGAACTGAGCACAAGCCATTGTGACAAAAGGACTGTTCTCTCGTTCCTGGAAGCCGCAAAAGTTGGAGGACTCCCAAGTGACTTGTCTGTAGACCAAACAAAGGGCAGGGCTGGAGTGGGAGGTGAGGCCTTTGTAGGGGCAATGAGACCTGCTCTACTTTGCTTTGAGTTGTGTTTTTGCTGTGAGTTGGTGGTGGTTTGGCCTAGGGGATTAGAGGCAGAAACAGAAAACACTGCTGGGGTTTGAATCCCTCCAGCATGTCAGAGATGAGCTCCATAAAACAGCTGAAGCTTTCGTGTATGCAGGAGGGTGGTGAGAGAAAGCAAGGAGCAGGATGAGTTTGAGCCCCTGAGAGGATGGAGGTATATTCCTGAGGTGGGCAGGAAGGCAGTGTGAGACTCTCTAGAGTTTTCTCTTTGGTGCAAACTGCAAGTTCTTGTGAGATACCAGGGACTAAGATAGCCAGTAGGACCAGATCTATCCTCTGTCATGCCCCTGGAGTCCGGAGGTGGGTTCTGTGCTACAGACATCAGTGGGAGAGCATATGTGAACCCCAGAGCACAGAGAGCATATGTGAACCCTAGAGGGGATATTCGTGTTGAGTTCCTCCTGCCTGGGGAAAACTGTTCTGACTTACCATATTGCTGCTGGTTTGAGAATCTGATCCTTTGGATGCTGGTTGTAGCAAAACCGCAGAACCAGACATTTTATTGCAAGATATCCATTTGAAATTTATTTATGTCACCAAGGACCAAGAAGGTGAAATGCTACACCTGGCGCCATAAAACCATTGTCTGAGCTTGTTTGTCAGAAAAATCCATATCTGGATGATGCGATCAAATCCTCAGCCATGCCCTGCTGGCTGTGTCCTAATAAGGCAGGCATAACATAAGCCCCAGAGGACTATGGGTGTCAGTGCAGTTCCCTTAGTTCCCATGGCACCCTGTCCTGATGCATGGATGAGAAGCAAGCGTGCCCTTCAGGCCCTAGCTTCCCTTCCCTCCCTCTCTCTTGGCTGTTATCAGAGCATGCAGCTTCGCTGATGTGAGGGTAGTCGCCGACTTACGGCACTGGCGATACTTGCCTTGCTTCACTAGAGCATAAACTTCACCAGGGCAGTGGCTTCTGTTTCCTTGGTTTCATTTAAGTGTCTTATGTATCCTCAGTAGTGGATATTTTATAGATGGATGGATGAACCACTTCGTTAACTGTGAGTTAGTGGACTTTGTGGAAAGCATTGTTAGCACAGGTGAATAAAATAGGGTTTTCCCCCTTCACTTGTGTTATTCTACTTGAAGAACACCTTGCTTATGGAAGATTATTAGACTATCCTGGGATGTCAGTAATAACACCTGTGATTTCCAGCAGTTCTTGAATCATGGTTCACTGTTTGTCAGACATACCCTGTAGGAAGTTCTGAGCTAAGAGTGCCACAGTCATGGCACCCATGATCTCCCGAGTCTCCTTAAAGCCCATTTGGGGAGAGACTAGAACTGTCTGTATTGTCAGAGGAGACCACAGCTCAAGCCAGAAGTTGCTTCTTCAGAGTTAACACAGCCAGTACAGATAGTGGTCTATGGATTAAGTTCTTAGCTACCAGTAATGTTCAATATTGGGTTTGGGGTGTTTTCTTTTGAAGGAGGAATTGAAAACACTAAAGACTAGGCAAGCATCAGTCTTCGGGGTGTCTGTGGGCCAAAAACATCAGCCTCCAAGGTGGTATAAAACCACAGCCTGGAAAAAAAGACACAGTTTTTCAGCTCAACTTTCCAGCATTTCCCCATACTTCAAAGTCTTTCCATTCTCCTATTACAAAGAGCCTTTCGTCTTACACTGGTTGGCTTTTCTCACTTCTCGGAAAACTTCCGAGACCAGCCAAAGAAAGTTCCTGTGGTGACAGGTCACACTAAACCCTTTCTAAGGAGGCCACTGTAACAGCCATTCACACCCTACCTCCTGAGGAAGGTGGGCAGAAAGGGGCTCCTTCACCCACCTTCTGTAATGTGTTCCTGTGGAGGCCTCAGGAGGTGCTGACTCAGGGATATGATAGGTTTATAAATGTGGGCACAACAGAGCCCTTGTGAGACTGGGTAAGCCTTTGAGTTCTAGAACACTGTACTTTTTAGGAGCAATGGAGTGACTCTAACCACCCAGTGTGGATAATGCTGACATTCACTCACACCTCTGCCAGCCTGGACTGCCCTTGTGTAAAATCACACTTAGGGCAACAGATTTCATTTAATTCTTACAGTAATCCTGATGAATCTTCACTGGCCCTTTCTAGATACCAGCAGCTTAGGGAGACTGGTAAATTGCTTTTCTTTTCTGTTTTTTGAGACAGGTAGTGTTACGTAGTCTTGGCTAGCCTGGAACTGGCTATGTGTACTAGCCTGGTCTCCGGCTCTCAGTAGTCTTCTGCCCGTGCCTCCCAAGTGCTGGGCTTACAGCTGTGTGCCACCACACCAACCCGAGACCATAATTTTCCAGTCTCCTGGAATTTGCAAGACCCCTGTTTTAAACATGAATTATTGCAAAGACTGGGCTGGGCTGGCCTACCTTTCTGCAAAGCTTGCTTAGCATGAACTGTAGAGCTACCCTGCTGGGGTTTATGCTCTGACACTGCCACTTACGAGCTGGGAGACGTTAGACAGGTTACTTAGTCACCCTTCCTTGGCTTGTCCATCCTGCAGCATGGGGATAACAAAACACTCCTTTCTTATAGAGATTAGAGTCAGTCTGTCTGGTTCACAGAGCTCACCATGTAAGCTCTAGCCATCATCATTAATTTATATATCAAGTCCTTTTCTTTCTGTATTTAATCTCGGAAGTTTCAGGGTTTCTCCAGCTGAAGTTTGTAACCCTATGTCCGGGAGCCACATGTAGATGACCACAGAGAGTGCCTGGTTTGCTGTCACTCTGGCAGATGTTAGTGAGAATTAGTAAGGCTGTGCATGACACTGGGGGATCAGGGAGAGCTGGCTCTCCTGGCTCACCTTCACCGAATAGTGGCCTCCCTCCAGGGTAAGTTTTAGAGAAAGGCCCTGCTTCTCTCATGGATTGGGCAGGAAGTAGGAAGCAGCCGTTAGTTTTCATATAGTAAGTTACTGTGTATAATGAATGTGTACTTTACTTCTTGTTCAAGGTACACATTAAATCAAATTAGTTCTTCAAAGTTTTTCCTTTTTTTTTTTTTTTTTTTCTCCTCGAGACAGGGTTTCTCTTTGGCTTTGGAGACTGTCCTGAAGCTAGCTCTTGTAAACTAGGCTGGTCTCGAACTCAGAGATCCGCCTGCCTCTGCCTCCTGAGTGCTGGGATTAAAGGCGTGCGCCCCACCACCCAGCTTCTTCAAAGTTTTTCAGGGAGGAATGGTCTCAACAGCTCTGACCTGTGATCATTGGAATTAGTTGTCACTCTCCAGCGGTCACTACCCCTTGACACTCTGTCCACAGTACCCTCCTCCATCCTGTCTTTCTTCTGTATACTGGAGGTTGGGATTCTAAGCACAGACATTGTGGTGACAGTACTCTCAATTCTCTTCTAGCTTAAGAGTTGGACTGTGGAGGACCTTCAGAAGAGGCTCTTGGCCCTTGACCCCATGATGGAACAGGAAATGGAAGAGATCCGGCAGAAGTACCGGTCCAAGAGGCAGCCAATCCTGGATGCTATTGAAGCCAAGAAGAGGAGGCAACAGAACTTCTGACAACACCAGCCCCGGCCTTTGGTGGCTTCTGGGTGACTAGTCTCCCGTCTGTTAGCCAGCACTTCTGCTCTGTCATTTCTCCACAGCACCTTTGTGAACTCAGGAATGTGCGCCAGTGGGAAGGGCTACCTTGACAGTTGTGCCATCTGGTATATTTACACGGGCAGGATGTATCTTGAAGGGTTTGTATTGGCGCTTTTAACTCAGAATTTTAGACCCCAGGAACAGAGACTCCTAGTTGAGTGATAGCTGGGAAAATTTTACATTGCCTCTTTTTGTTTTCCTTCTCATAATAGTTTTTGGTTGCTCTCTCTGGAAGACTTTTTAAAAGAATATATAAATATGCATATATATATATATAAATTATAAATAGATTCCCCACTCTGTGTGGTGGCATCTCTGTACAGGTACAGTTTCAAACACTTTGCCTCTTTCCTGTGAGATTATGGTACTGTGGAGCCAGAGAGCAGAGGACACTAGAAGGCACTTAGGTGGTCATCGAATCCCAGGAGTCAACCTCACCCATTGCAGGGCTGCATGGAAAAATTAGTCTTGGGATAGTTGTGCCACAACAGTGACGGGCCTCATATAGTCCTCACTGGTCTCTGAAGCTGTTGGTGATACCAGGGAAAGGCCTGGAGAACTCGAGATTGCTCCTTGAGTCCTAGGAGAAGCCTGGCACCTTCTTTGCAAATTAGCCTTTGCTGTTTCAATGCCTTTCATCCATCCCCACTTTCCCAACCACCTAAAGTCACATCCCAGATACTGCCCAGTGCCTTAAGAGGGGACACAATCTGGTGAAAGGACAGGCCTACCAAGAACTTTCCAGCAAACAAGGCTGTGACCAGTCCAGAGAAAAGAGAAGGGTTTTGAAGGTCCCACTGTTAGTGTGAAAAGTCACATGTGGCAATTTGCTTTGCATTTCTTACATGCAGGGTAAAGGTCCACATTAATTCATGTGGTTGTTTTACTTCTTCATTCACTGTGGAGGGTCTGGCAAGGGTCTGAGACTTGCTCATAAGAGGCTCAGCTGGACCCAGAATGCCAGAGCTGGAAGGCACCATAGCAGGCGGTGGGTCTGACCTTGTGTTGTGTGGGTGGGAAAATGAGAGGAGAGGTGACATTGCCAATGTCACAAATCAAGTTAGAGTAAAAGCAGGGATTGGAACTCAGGGCTTCTCTCCTGGGCCACTGAACCAAGAGCCTCTTCACCGAGAGGACGAAACTACCTGTGTTGATCGTGCTATCCCAGGGCCTTCTGCTTTGCCTTGCTTCTTTGGTACTGGAGCTGCTGTATAAAGTCTCCCCAGAGGAGCCATCTGGTCTCAGCACACCAGTGTGTTCCTTGTGTTATCTCCAGATACAGACAGGCACTCATGCCAGGCCTGAAGCAGGATAGAGGGCTTTGCAAAAGACAGTTACGGAGTTGTGCCCTGCACCTTTGGCTCGAAACCACAGCCCGAAGAAACTGGAAGACAGTTGCCTTTTTATTTCCTTCTAGTCTCTTCTCTCTGACGGGAACCACAATTGGGTTGCACCTGAGGATACTGAAATCCAACCCCATAATTGCTTTTGCTCCCTAACCTGAGAGTCGATAAAAAGGAAGGGGATGTTCTCCTCTGTGACCAGATTCTGTTCTTTGCAGTTAAAGCAAGCTTTAAAAAATGCAAGAGGCAGCTGGTCTGCAAGACTTGGCCAGCAAAGGAACTACGTAGCAGAGAGAATTAGAGGATACTTTGCAGATCTTGCTGGAATGGAAAATGGCAGCTAGCATTCCCTGGGGAGCAAGTTTCACACACTGTGCCAGGTGCACTGCAGGTTTCATAGTAAACCTGTGGGCTGATTAAGTTACTTCTCTTATGATGCAATTGAGTTTGAAAGATTCCCTTCCCACGATACTGTGCATCTGGATGCATGGCATTACTCTGTGAGGCTAGTCACAAAAACAGGAAAGTCCTCCACACCTAAAACAAGGTGGCCGTGGCTTCTCATGAAGGCTAAGTCTAAGTGGTGTTTTTCTAGGTTAAAAACCAGCTGAATTAATGGTTCCCCAGTCAAGTAAGCTTTAAAAAAACCCAGAGCACCAGGCATGCATAATTTGTGTGCTACTTAACAGCCCAGCCTTAGAGCGCTTTCTCTTGAAGAAAAGTGCTTTTGGGCTGAGCCAGACAGAAGGAGAAAGCCTCGACTCTTCTGAGGCAAGAGCCAAGCACAGGCAAATAGTTCTGTTCTATTTGTGACTGTTGTGCAGCTGTGAACCTAGATCTGGAGTTTATTTGGTTCAAGCATGTCTGCACCATGCAGCATGGTCCAGCAGTCAGCTGCTCCACAGTCCAGCAGGAGACAGCATTTTGGATCAACAGAATTTCCTGGCAAGGTGTATGTGTTGTCCAGTGACAGGCAGGGGAGCAAGTCATTCTTTCCTTGAGGACCAAATCCTAGGAATCACATCTTGTGTCCTTTGAGCTTGAGCATTTGTGACTCAGCTCTCTGCTTCCAAGAAGCCATGACCCCCCACACCTAACTTTTCTTTTTTAAAAAACAAACAGAACCTCATAGTCTCTGAAAATATTTTAGTTATGCCCCCATTCATAAACTTGAAGCACATTTCCATTTTTAATTTTTCTCATATATTTTTTCTTCAACCCCAATTAACTGGGTGAGAATTAGAGTGGCTGGAGTGAGAAGGTTGTTGGGTTAGTGGATAGATAGAAGTGGCAATCTGAAGCCTCAGGCTGTAGTAGCGCCTGGCAGATGCCAAAAATGTATAATACCATTTAAAACGAAATGCCCCCATCGAATGCCAGGAATGAGAGAGATGACATCACTACAGACCCTGCAGGTGCTCAGAGACCAATAGCAGAATATTATGAACAGCTTCATACTAATAAATTCACCAGCTTAAGTGAAATAGACAGATACCTGGGAAGTGATGAAGTAACCAAGCTTCCCTGAAGAAGAAGAAATGGACAATCTGAACACCCAGCCCCCTTTCTACCAAAACCTGGTAGCTCTGAGAGATATGAGCATCTCTTCGCTTTATGGACCAGGAAACTGAGGCTCTGATAATGCCTAATTCCTCAAGGTCATGCCAGCAGAGTGTAGCAGAGTCCAGTCCTTACTCCACTGTCCCTCCCAGTGTACCGTGTGGCCTCTAAAGATTGCAGTTCTGTTTTGGAGAAGTTGTTCCTGCCCAAGCCACACCCATCACCCTCCTCGACCTTCTTTTGAGCACTGTGTTTGTAATTTCATTAGGATTACATTCATCATCTTTGGAATCCATGTTCTTTGGGTTTAGGGGGGAAGTCTCTTCCACCAGCCTGCACTCAGACCAACTTGGAGGAAAAAAAAAAACTTAAATGCTGTTGCTGATGTACAATTTAAAAATGTGAAATTTTTAGCTTTAACGTTTTGTAACAAAAACTAATAACACTGGCTTAAAATGCTGACTTAAATGCTATTTTGTAAGGTTTGGCTGTAAATAGTCAGGGTCAGCCATTTGTATATGTGTGAGATACAGCATCTTCCACGGCCATTTGTCTTTAACGTGAGGTATTTCCTGTGCGCTTTTATGTTAGAGTTGTTCTCCCTCACTCCTCCCCAACACCTGTCACCTTTGTTTTCAATAAACTGTCTTTTAGAACACAGACTGTCCCCTTTTAAAAATGAGGTTCTTTTTCATACGTGTCACTGCTATGCAGTGTTGTTGTGGACAACGATGCTATTGAGTGTGTATTCTAAGAGCCAGGAGGGAGCTGATTGACACTGATGACAGAGCTAGTTGGCAATGCTATCGGCGCAATGAACTGAAATGGACATAGTTATTTTTTTTAATACAGATGCAATTAAAGTTTTTATTAAACACAGTATCACAAGTTTTTAGGAACTGTACTCCCACGGATCATATGTCGTTTTTGTTGTTTGACAGCCCCATACATTGGTGTAATGAATTTCAGTCATTTTTACCCCGATATCCCCTCATTACCCTTCTTCCACTGGCACTGAGCCAGTGAGCCCCCCTCTATGCCTTCCTTGTCTTCATGGCTGAATGTGTGTGGGAAGTAATTCGGCCGAGCAAGGCTAACATATCTGCAGCTACACTACTGGATAGTGTCCTTCCAGGCAGTAATTGTCAGTAGAGCCTCTGGAAGGCACGAGGCCCCCTGGTCCCCTTCCTCATCCTTGGTGAAGCATTGATGGGCCTACTCTTGTGTCAGACTTGTGCAGATGGCGAGTTCATGAGTGCAGCAGCTGTGTTGTGTGCAGATGTCTTTTTGCTGCCCATCTCCATCCTCACGTCTTACATCCTTGCCTGTCCCCTTTTCTGAGCTGTTCCCTGACCTTTGTGGGGGGCGAATCATAATGTCCCACAAGCATTCCATCGCCACTCTCAACACTTGGGCCAGTTACAGGTTTCCGCTGCCAGCTGCAGTGAGATGCTTTTCTGATACAAGCTGGACACTGTGCTAAACCGTGGGTATAAATGTGTTTAGAAAGCAGATTTGGCTGTATTACTCTTTAGCAAAACAACAGTAAGTTTCCTTCTGCGTCAGCAACTGGACATAATTCTTGTAGAGTACCTGAGGACTAGCCAAGCACAGAAGCCCCACTGGAGAGACTGACTGAAGGACTTCCAGCCTGTGTATGCGGAGAGGAGTGGCAATATTGCAGAGGCATCAGGAAGCACCCCGAAACTTGGAAAGTGAGGAAGAAGGCAGGCCAGCGGAGGGTGTGGAGGAAGGGAGGGGAGGAGCAAGCGGGAGGACAGGCTGGCACAGGAACCTGTGTAGGGCTGCTTGGGAATCCTCACACAGCCAGGTCAGACATGGGCCAGCATCCAAGATGAAGTAGTGGGACCACACCCTTGGGTGGTGTATCCTCATCCAGGCGGAATGACCCCAGATTCTCTTTAGTCATAAAAGTTCACCCAGTAATAGGGAGCGGACAGATTGATGTGGAAAAGTAAATGCAGACCTTGCAAGTCAAGCTCAGTAATATTTAATACTGTCATTCTGTGCTGTTCTGCTTCTCTTGGCATGGAGTGATGGCGTTTTTATTGTTGCCTAATGAGTTCACTTCACTCCCTGAAACACTAAACGTAACTTTCGGACTCTTGCCAGGGTTGACAAACATTGGTCAGGTTCTCAATCTGACCAGAGAGAGGACCAGTGCTGTGATTTTATATTAGGCAATTGGCATATGGCAGTCTTTTAGATACTCAGCTTGTCCTCAGGGCTCCCTTTCAGTATTCTTGGAAATGCATGGGAGTGTTTTAGAGTGGTGCTGTGGGAGCCATAACAGCACCTCTCAAACAGACAGATACGCTGGTCGTCCTGTATAATGTCCTAGTGTTTTTTTTTTGTTTGTTTGTTTGTTTGTTTTTTATCTTTACATTCCTTTATTGGAGCAAGATTCCTGACTATACAGTGATGTATTTACTAAACAGAGTCCTGTGCAGAAATTACACACTATCCATCTAGACAGATTTCGGTTACACTTTGCTTATTGATGGAGTAGTTCCATTTATAAAGTTTTATACATCAAAAAACTTCGAATTTGACCAGGCTGTCCATTAATCTCTGAAAAAATTGGCATTTAATTTTAGCTCTATTTTACATTAAAAAGCTTATGTATCAGGTAGCTTCCCAAAACATTATTCTCTGCAGAATGGCATTGAGCAGACAAGAGCTCTTTACCCACCCAGATTCCAAGTGAAATCTGAGAGCTCCTGCTACATACCTAGGACACAGCACTCCTGACCACCCCCATGGACTGCATACTTGACAGCCCACTTTCTTGGCCAGTTCACTGCCAATGTAGACATGCCTGTAGCTGTCTTTCGTACAGATGGCATTAGAGTAACAGCTCTGTGACACAGTAGGAGCAGGTACTGTCATAATATCCAGGCAACAAAAGGCCCATTTAAAAAAGCCAAATTGAGATAAAAAAATAAAGGGTCCAAGTTCATGGCAGCAAACTATACCCAATTACTCAATTACGTGTCCTAGTGTTTTTTCAGTCTTGTTTATAAATAGCCAAGAGTAAACCAAGTCTTATTTGCAACTAAGCATAAAGTCTATGTTTACTGTTTAGAAGAAGGCTGTATAGAAATTCAGACACTCAGAGTTCCTTCCTTGTTGGAGCTTTGCTAAGAGATGTCCTCCATTTCAGAAAAATCTCACCCTCAAAGACAGCAATGCTCAGGGGTTTTGAGAATTAGTGAATGCAGGACAGTACACTGGCTGGTTTAGTTTGTAACTCATACCTATAGCAAGTCTATGTAACATGTAAACAAGTGGCAACTTTCAGAATAGGATAATGTGCCGTAAAGAACACAAAGCAGGAAGCAGCGCTGAGAGGACTGTGTGAAGCCCCGGGAGGGTGGGAAGGCACCTGCTCGAGTAGGGCCCTGTACAGGTGTGTGTGTGTGTGTGTGTGTGTGTGTGTGATAGAGAGAGAGAGAGAGAGAGAGAGAGAGAGAGAGAGAGAGAGAGAGAGACAGACAGAGAGAGACAGAGAGAGACAGACAGAGAGAGACAGAGAGAGAGGAGAGAGAGGTAGGTTCCCATCAGAAAATTTTGATCAAGGCACCACCACTATTAAAAGATTCATGTATCTGCAGTGCCGTTATGAGAGAGTACTCAACTTTAATCAAGAGCATATCAAAACAATTATGCTGGTGCTGCGCACACACCGTAATAGCTCAGACAGAAGAGAGGACTCGCTGAAGGTAGGTGAGGACATGGAGCAGCTGAGCTCTTCAATACTGGTGAGTGTACTCAGGACCTAGCAGCTCTTCTGGGTGATTCCTCAACGGAACTATGTGCACATTTCGACAAGAAGACATGTACATGTATATTCATGGAATTATTGATTATTGTAGTTATAGTCATCACAGTGCTGGTAACCAAGTCCAGAATTTCCTTCGTTCTAGGGTTTCATGCATGCTAGGTAAGCACTCTACCACTGAGCCTTAGCCCACTCTTCATTTTTTTATTTTGAGAAAGGGTCTCACTAAGTTGTTCAAGCTGTACCCAGACAGGTCTTGCATTAAAAACCTCCTGCCTCAGCCCCATGAGTTGCTGGGCCTGAAACAGTGGTATTTCCAGGTGGTCTCCATCCAAGTACTAACCTGGCGCAATCCTACTTAGCTTCTGAGATAAGAAAAGGCCAGGTACATTCATGGTGGTATGGTCATAGTCCTTCATTTTGCAAAAGTAAGCTGTCCAGATCCCCAGTGACAACAGAATGAATACATTATATAAATTACTGTCATGGAGTACTACACAGCACTAAAAATGAGTCAATAGCTGTTGTGGAAGAAAGCAAAGACTGACCAAATGAGAAAAGCAAAGGTTGTTTATTTAGAGCTTGCTCTGTCACACTTGACTTGTGCAGAGACTCAAAAGCAGAAGTAGGAGCTGGGACCCTTACTCTACTGTGGAAAACAATGGGAGGCCTTGATTGGAGGCTGTGGGCTATGGATGCTCTAGGGCAGCTAATGACATTTTTGTGCTGCTGGTTGGTTCTCATCAGAAATGGGCAGCAATTAGGGAAGCCCTAGCCTTGTTAGTCTGGTTATGACAGAAGAAGTTATGGGTCAGGTTCTTGAATTGCCACCAGAGACCGCAGGCTGGCTGCCTGTAAAATCTGGCCGGTGGCAGGCTGCCTCCTGGGTAGTTTGTGGTGGAGGAAAGTCATGGCTATCTGTGCGAATGGTCTGTTCATGTCTGTTTGCATGTTCACTTTTTCACTAGATACAAAAGCCTGGCTGATCTGTTTGATACAGTAGAATGTTGGAAGGAGTGGGGAAGCAATGGAGAGTTAGTGTCGAGCAGGGGGTTCAGCTCTGCAGGCTGAGGTCTCAGGAGACGTGGTGCCTAGTGATAGCTGTGTCACAGGGTGAATGCATGTTCTGCCCCTGAACTGTACATTTCAAGTGATCAAAATGGCAATTTCATGTGTGCTTTATCATCACCACAAGAAAGCAGGCACAAAGAATATATATTGTACAAATCTAATGATACCAGATTCAAAACCAAAGAAACCCTTGATGTTTGGTGGGAAAACAAATCTTGCTTATATAACACTTTGATTTTCTTTTTGAGGATTTGATACACGCATACAATGTATTTTGATCTTTTTCTCCAGTTCACAGCCATATCCATTTTCTAATGTGATCTCCTTGTGTATTAGTACTTTTCTATCACTGTGGCTCAGGTACCCCCCAAGGGAACAGCTTAAAGGAGAGATCTGTACTGCTCCTCCATAGTTCCTTGGCCAGAGCATCATGATGATTAGTTAGAGCATGTGATGGATGAGCTTTTTCATGGCAGACAGGAAAGGCCAGGGAGTAAAGAGGAGGTGAGACAGGAACTAGGCATAACCTTCAAAGGCCCCTATTGACTTCCTTCAACGAGACCCCGCCTCCTAAAGTTCCCATTATCTCCCCAAGCAGCACCAAAGCTGGGGGCTCCGCATCCTGAGCCCTTGAGGGCCGTTGCATATTTGAACTGACTTGCTTGGATTGCATTTGAACTGAAAGGGAACTCAGATATGGAATTGTGTGACCATGTAGACTTCTCTGGCTCTCTGACTTGTAGTATGGAGGGTGAAGAGAGGAAGATGTTAGTTGAGAGCATCTCGTCT